TATGGCGGATATTTGAAGGACATTTCCAAACTTGACGCATCAATGACAGAGATTATGTCCCACGTTATTCCCTATTTTGACATATGTTCCAATGGGGTTATCAGGTGACTTTCCTTTGATTGTGTTTGTGATTGGCGCAACCGGTAGGGCAGGGAACGCCCACCTTGACACGAACACCTAGCATCATCCCTATGTGATAGTCATTAAATGAGTGAGTTGGGTTTAACGCCGCTTTTAACAGTATTCCAGTTATATCGCGGCGTGTCAGCTTAATGTGGGAGGAAAGCCCGAAGTGATGCAGGTCTCAGACGTTTACCACTTCGGTGAAACCCACGAGCACAGGTATGGTGCTGATAAACCTAGAAACATAATCGGGGCGAACCGGGATTCGAACCCACAATCATAGGTTTCTGGCATGCCCAAGGGACGCAACTCTGCACAGCGAATTGCGGCGCCTTAGACGACTGGGCCACCCGTGCCCCCGATAGTCATTCAATACAAATGATATAGTCGGAATCGTACACTTGACTTTATGCAAAGATTTTATGATTTGGGAACTGTTTTTGTTGTGAATATTTACATTATCAATTTATTATTTGGCCTACTCAGCCACAATAAATATACTTCCTTTGCTCCTAATGTTTGTATTTCATCATGCGACTTTTCAATACAATTAGATAAAACTTCAGCCATTATATCAAAATAAGTATAGTTTCCAGTTTTTTAACTATTTACGTAAAATGGATGTGACAATAATTCTAGGCCAATTTCTAATTGTGTTTGCTCTATTTCTCTATAATGTTTAATTCCATGTATTGTTTCAACTGACAAGATGAATTTGTGGTAATCAGGTCGCAACTGGTTAATATCAGAAAGTACATTTGTACGACAAAAGTATTGTCTCTGATGCCCTGTGAACATACCAGCACATTGAGTGTCACAATGGATGTGTTGACTCAAATAGTGACCAGGAAGTAAACAGATGCTCTATGGAGTGTGGATGTTGCGTCAAACATAAAATTGTTCATACTTTCTTTATACTTCCTTTCATTCCTTGGTTAACTACACTTTCCTGTTCCTACTGGATGTGATCCCATACATTTTCCACTTCGGTTAAATCTTTAGGGGGGTCCTAAAGAACTGGAGTGCAAAACAGCCACACAATGTAAGATCGTCTTTCGTGCGTTGTGTATATATGTATTTTTCACAGTCAATTTGTAAAGTTCTGTATAGTAGTGTCATAGCGACTGATTTATGACTACCATTGTCTGCAGTACATTTGACTTCAAGGGCAATTTACCCTGTAGCCATGTCTCCATAACTTAATTGTCATTACGTTTTAGGCGCTAATCCCCGTTGTTAATCCTCACCAACATTTCATTGTATTTTGACTGTCAGTCAGCCTGGACTACCATATTACTTCCCTTTAACTACTGCTTTTTATAGTATGGCATTTATTGCCCTAATTGATCATCCCATGAACTGTGTTTGTTAATCACGCCCACATGTCCAAAGCAACGTCGTTGTCTCTTTGTCTGTCCATTGTTGTTCATTACTATATATGTGCTACCATTACACAGTTACTACGGTGTTAGTCAGGCTTGGTATTCCGAGTGCTGGCATAGGGACGACCTCGAGCAGGATATGCTGCTCGTAGGAAACGCCCTGAGGTGAGCTGGAGCTCCGCTCACCTCTTGTACGACTGAGCTGGAAAGTCTGCTAATTGCTCTGTTTGTGTTGTCAGAGCTGGTATTCCGCTCATTGTGCAATTGTTGTTTATTGTTTACATGTTGTGAATAAAGCGTTCCGGGACAGTGATGTCGATTTTGTCCTTTATTCCCCCAAGAGCTAATTCCCCGTCAACATGCACGTTGACGGTAGTACTGTGCTCAGACCGTATGCGACGACAACAGTTCATCGGCTTGGTTCGCCCGCGTTCACACCTATTCACTACGTATTCGCTTACGTATTGATTACTTCACCATTGTAGATAAACATGAATAATGCATTCGGTCTCTTTGACATTATACATCTACCTGATTTCGCGGGTTTCTATTATAGGGACTAGAAATACCAACGAATGGCTCGTTACAAAGAAGAATTGATGTTGCATACTTAAACACTATTGTCTCTGTGTTATTTATGACAAAGTGTGTAAACGGAACTAATTTTGGTCACATTTTAGATTTATATTATGATGATTGTGGTTGTTCATGAATCTAATATGACGAAACTTAGTTACATTATACAATTTTGAAAATATGATACTGTATTTTCAGTGAGTTACTGTAAATCTTGAAATTAACGCGAGCGTGAATTAATTGAAAAATGCGAGTGGTCTTTGCGCGCATTATCAATCATTGCATTTATATCAACAATAAGACATTTTGGATACCAGAAATACCAACTTAGACATACGATGAAAACAAACAACCATGTATTCAAACTCAAACTCATTTATTCTCAGAAAAAAACACCCACGGTGGTACATGAGATACAATTATATACAATTTTTATCATGTACAAAATGACAGCATTTAACAAGAATAGGATTCGTGGGTACTAATACAATTTACCAATTGAATTGAACACATTGCGAAGGATTTTATATAGGCCTTTTAGATCTCTTACACTGTTTGTGGTCATAGTTTTCTTAAATTGGGACGTGTTTGGAAACTGAAGATATTGCTTACTTAAGAGTTCTTATCACTGTTGGTGAAAAGCTTCACATCGGAATAAATAGTGAAATTCATCTCCCACAGCTATTGAATCACAGAGTGGACTATTATGTATGTCTGAGTAACATTATCTTCAGATTTGATGGTGTTGAGTTCAATCAAAAGTGATTCAAATGCCAAAAGATCTGCATTTAATATTTTAAGTTTATCTACCAACAAAACTATACTCAAACTCAAACTCTAAGTTGATGGTTGGCAATGGTTTAGAAATTCATTTTGAATAATTTGCCGATCTGAATTAAGAAATAACAGCGCAATATCGATCATTATGTCGTTGTTGTTATCATACATGTCATACGCATGCTGTTACATTGGAGTGTTTTTCTAGGCATTGAATAGACCCCCCTACTGAAGCACGTAACACTATCACTGTATTGACGTCACAAGGTTCTACACCTTAAAGCTCTCTGATTTTCTTAAATTTGCAGCAGACACACCAGTAGACTCCCTCTCGATTAAAGTGCATGAAATATTCCAAGACTGTGGTTCCAAAATATATTTTTCGTGTCCCATCCAACATGTGTTTCAAACAGACGCAAGATATGGATTTTTACGCTGATTATGGTCTCAGGATATTTTCTGCCATATTGAAGTGATTGAGGTTGGGTTAACGCTGCTTTGAACGGTGTTGTAGTTGGATGGGTGACCACGTTCAGCAGCTTGCCTCCTGAGAGTTTCTAGGGCTTCGGTCCTGCCCCACACTGAAGCACATGTACCACATGTGGCGTCTCCTTAGGCAAGTGACTTTGTTCGAAATGTGACTCTGTTCACCCAGCAGTGAGTGAGTACCCGGTAGGATGAGATGGTAATGTGGCTGTTAACCTTCTAGCGCCTCACAGGCAGCTTGGGTTGTATACTCCCCAGGTAGCTGAGAATGAAAATCGAGTGGTCACTGATCCACTGTAAAAATAGTGTAGCGCTATGAGCATCCACTTGGTGAATGGAATCTGGCGCATTATAAATGCACTTATTATTATAATTATTATTATTATTATTATTATTATTATTATTTCAACGGTATCATGATGTGTCCGTTTGATGTGTGAGGAAAGCCTGACGTTATACACAACGTACCACTTCAGTGAAACCCATGAGCACACTCAGGTATGGTGCTGACAAACCTACAGCCGTAATCAGGGCGAATCTGGTCCTCGGGCCATGACTATATGTTTCTGTCACACATAAGCCACACAACACTGCACATCAAATAGTGTCGCCGTAGGATATTGGGCCACATCATGCATATATGTTACAGAGATAATACATGATACATTCGTTCATGTGACTGTCAACCGGGGTATATATGTTTATCATATAATGGGTAGGTTTCTCGGCAGGATAAAGCCAACGGATAAAAACGATATCCGTTGGGGTCAAATGCGGATAGAGATGCAAATATCAAAGGTCAAGTAGGGACTACTTTCAGTGTTTATAAACAAACATGGCGTCGCCCTTGTCATTCGGTAATCGAGTCAGAATTAACCATCGAGAATCTGGATAAACTACAGAGATAATTGCTATCATTATCAAAAGAACAGTCTAATATACTTAAAGTTTGGGCAACTTTGGAGATATAATTATATATTATTAATATAATATAATAATTTCAAAACAATTTTGCGAGGGGCTAGGCCTAGCCAACCGGGATCAGTAGCCATATCTGTGCTTGTAGACCTTTGCGGCTTGAAACCTTTTCCACAAATTAAAATAGCTGGATTTGGCAGAAATATGTGTGAATTGTTACCTTGTTTCGTTTTGTCGCTTTGTGTACGTCTGAGTGCACTTCTTAACGTTATGACAGGACAGGCCGACTATCAACAACGTCTGAACGTGGCCGTGATGTCTCATAGACTAGGGTTAGAGTAGCTTCCCTTTGACAAAGGGCAGTTACTCTAGCGGACAGACCGATGGATTGCCGCGAAATGCAAGTAAAAACAGTTGATGTTTTGCGTACAGGTTGCTTCGCCACTGTATAAGAAACAGATTTCAGTTGGAACTATATTGGCTACAGTCACTGTCCGACTGACACATCACTTACCCTGTGACGTAATAAATATTAATGCGCACATTCCAGGAAAACTTTAGGTAATGTTTGTGAGAGGGAAAGCGATTTTCAAGCACAGAATCAAAGAATGATATTATTTGATAAAGAGGTTATCATGCTTGTGTGTTTGGGGACATTGTATTTAGCGATTCTTGGCGAGCTAAATACATAGTGTTTATTCCTAATGCAAGATATTTACCATCCCCAAACACACTCGCGTGATAACCTCTACTTATCAAACTTCCATATATTCAACTCTAGGTTCGAATTTCGTGACGCTTAATCCCATTCAAACCGTATCTGAAAGTCCCATGACTGGTGATCATTTGTAGGTTTGCAAGGTTCCAAGTGTATGATGTTCTCTGATTTAACATAACCTATGCAATATGTTCCGTGAGGGCTTTTGTACATCAGTTGATCATGCTCTGTATATTCCCATCCATCCCCGGCTTCGGCCTCATCACACGTGACCGTCACAATACTCATCGTGTCTGCATCCAAGCCAAAACACTGGTCATCATTCCTGAGTCTTCCCCGCTGATCAAGAGAAAAGATTGTTCTGCATGAAATGCCATATGACTCACATACATTGTCAATATCAATAACCTGGTTATCCTTGACAAACAGACACATTTCATTGTTCTTGACTTCTCCCCACAATATGTCATGCCTTGATGGTACTTTCAGTTCAGGAAATACATGCTTGAGGTACCATTCGAAGCTTTCACTCCCAATATGTTCCCTGAAAACCCTACCCTCCTCAATGGATTGGACTTCTTTCGACGTGAAGGTAGGTAGACTTGCTGAATGGGAATCTGCTCTAGCACTTGCTATCACAAACTCTGCATATTCATCCATCCATATTTCAGCAATGCGTAGACAATTCTTGATCAAAATATCATTCTCTTCTTCTGTTTGTATGTGAGGATTGTCTTTAAACACATGACCAATATGAGAGCATGGCACGGTCTCAACTCTTCCTCCAGTCATCCAAACTTTTAATGCCAGTTCCAGCTGTTCCCCTCCCCAGATGTTCAATCCTTCATCAAAGCCTCGGATGCTCATGAAATAAGATCTTCGAGCAACAATGCACGACCCTTGTAACCCCGGTGCTGGCATCGCACTGGTTTGGTTATATCCAACTTGGTACAGATATGAGGGGAACGGGAACCAGTTTTGCCTGCAAAGATGTCATTCCTTATATTATCTCTCGTCTATTTACATCTGGACATGTGGTAATGAAGTGAATTATTTATTTATTTTTTTTTATTTTTTTTTTTTTATTATTTATTGTTCCTGGTAAAAGTACATCATGTTTTCGTAGAACTCATTGAAGTGAATTATTAATATCACGTTAACATATGTACACGATTTGTTGATACAATTTCATTTTCGTAAGTATTAAATGGAGATTTAAAGGTCGAATACAATGACACTTACAAACGGAAGGACATTCCCCTATATTCATTTATAAGATCAAAAGGATTTGTGATCAGATTTTTTATCATATTAAGCTTTTGATAATTTAAAAACGCTCAATTGAAAACCATTTCCTTTGAAACTTGAAATGAATTCGTGTTCTAAAGATATTTTCATTTTTAAGAACTTTTCATTTGAACCTTAATCAGTTCAGAATTCAATTAATGTGTTCTATGAGTACTGGTTAGATGTCTGGATAGTTTCATTTGCCTCTTCGAGAATGACAAAAAATTGAAAGGAAAGGATGCAATATATTGATGGGTATTAACCTATTGTGGTCTTTCTTGATAAGGGGCTAGGGTAGCCTAGTGGTTAAAGCGTTCGCTCGTCACGCTGAAGACCCGGGTTCGATTCCCGACATGGGTACAATGTGTGAAGCCCATTTCTGGTGTCCCCCGCCGTGATATTGCTGGAATATTGCTAAAAGCGGCGTAAAACCATACTCACTCACTCACTCACTCACTTTCTTGATAAGCGGTTGTTGTGAACACAACATATTGATCAACCTGTAGCTCATTGTGGCCCCCAGATACTTTTCCCTTTGATAATAGCTACTTTAAAACAGCATTATCATGGCACTGTATTATTTGGTCCAGACTCTATCACAGGATTTACAGGCCGCTGTCGTATGTTGAGTGTCGGGTGCCACAGGTAGAGCAGGACATGCTTTCCTATTCGTGGACATCTGACATCACTTATTTTCAGCATTCTGTTCATATAATTTCCATTACTATTTGGACTTTAACTCCAAATGGAAGACATCTGAGACTGGCGTTGACGTTTTATATTTAATTTGTTTGTTGCAACAGTGATAGATGAACGCACTACACTAAACATTGGTTTATTTTTACCCCAGGTCCCACGACATGCCAGGCCTGGCAAAATCATTTGCTTCACTGTCAAATTCCTCCTCATTGGCAACTGAATTTGTAATTGTTTTGGGGTGTCTGAAACAGTAAGTGAGTGACGAAGTACATGAATAAAACTTTGGCGTATCTACATCGAAACGTCGCTAAATACAATAAACCAGAAGTTGTTATCAATATTGTTGTATGTTTTCTTATTACCTTGAAGAAATCCACAAGTATGGGTTTAGTGCTAAAACTATACAGCGAGTCTTACAAATGTATTTTGGATTACATTCTCAAATAATTAATCCAGGAAAGTTACGAATGCAATCGACATAATACAGCGCCACTGATCATTGCCATGCGCCCTTGCCTGATGGTGCAGAAGAACGCTGAATGATTCCTTATCTTAAAGTGCTGTTCATCTAAACATCACCAGAACCATGTTGTAGTCAAGGGCAGTATCTCTCAGCCATATTTGTGTCAACTCAATTATGTCACTTTCAGGTATTGATATGAAGACAGATATTAAGTAAATGAAATATATATCCACTATCGAATAAATCAAGAATGCCAGTGAGTTGAGATTTCACAATATTTCAGTTATATCACTGTGTGTTGCAGGTCCTAGACGCCTAGCACTGACAAGACACTGACGAGTGTTTCAGAGTCAGGTCGTGATAGAATGCAATACAGCATCCAATTTCGAACTCTCTGGTATTCCTAAAACATAGTACTCTCTCTGAATCAAGTTTTGTCATCAATGACTTCCCAAAATGCATAACAACACACATACTTAATATGCAAGTTACCTTCACTGCATTCTGTAATATCATTTACTATTATCAGAAGAATATTACAAATAGTCTTAACTTACCTGTACCTAACGCCCAAGAACAAGGGTTGAACCACGATACGTGATTGACTGACAATTCGTTCCAAGAGGGGCTCCAGCCACGCTACGCCTACTTCCATGTGTGCATCTAGGAACACAAGCACGTCTCCTCTTGCTTCCCGTGCACCGTTCATCCGGGTTCTTATCAATCCTTGTTTTTTCTTGTTTCGTATTATCCTTATTCTCTTGTCCAGGATTTGAAAGTATCGATCTAAATCGTCTCCCAGATACGTCAATGTGCTTTTGTCATCAACCAGTATGATTTCTTGTAATAGGTTGGAGGGTGTTCGGTGTAATAGTGTGTGTATATGACGTAGCAATGGCGTCAATGCTTCGTTGTAGAATGGTATTATAACAGACACTGTCACCTGACCTGTCAAATTATACTTTATGTCATGGCATTTCTGATTGCGTCGATCACTTAAGTTTCTGTACAGTGGCAGTTTGTCACTGATGGAAACATTGTAACCAAAATATGAATCATTCGGAAGGTGATGTCTTTTGACGATTTTAAGAAGAAAATCATTTAAATTTTGAGTGTTGTTGTTTGAATGAGGGTTTGAATCAGGTATTGGTCGCACAGTAGTCCTCCAAGATTGGATTCTGAAATGTATTCATAATGATAATCATGAAATCATAAGAAATGAGTAAGGCAATTTTTTTCATGTCAGTGTCTTTTACTTTCACATCTTATTCCTGTTTTAATAGGTCCCCAGTAAGAATTGTTTCTTTATTGTATAACGACCTACTCAGCAATATTCCAGCTATATGTCGGCGGTCTGTAAATACTCGAGTCTGATCCAGACAATCCAGTGATTGACATCATGAACATCGATCTACTCAATTGGAATACGATGACCTGCATCAACCAAGTCAGCGAGCCTTATCACACGCGGTCTGTAAATAATTGAGTCTGAACCAGATAATCCAGTGAGTGACATCATGAGAATCGATCGTCGCAATTTGGATCGATGACATGCATCAAACCAAGTCAGCGAGCCTGACCACCCGATCCCGTTAGTCGCCTCTTACGACAAGCTTAGTAGTCCTTTTTGGTAAGTATTGATTGCTGAAGATCTATTCTACCCCGGATTATAACGGGTCTAGATTTCAAAGAAACTATTGAACGTTTATTTTGGTCGTGTAGAAAAATGAATTCTCTTTGGATTGATTTAGAAAACGGGATATTAAACAAAACACAGGTCAAGACTATAATCAATGAAGTCGTTGCCTAATAAAGTTATCCAGCCCAGAACTACAGCCCAGTAAATGCCCTAACCATTGTTCATTTGGGGGGTAAGACATTTAGGCAAGAAGTAGGCATTCCCATGGCCATCAAGTGTGCTGCTCCCCTTCTTGCGGATCTGATTCTTTGTGCATATAAATCGGAATAGCCAAGAAGTTTAACTTAAGCTTCAGGTATATCGATGATCTGATATGATTTAAACCATATTTATTTCCAAGAAAAAGGAATTGGATTGGTGAACAAGTTCAACCTATTTAACACCTCTCCCTACAAAGAACATTGAACAATAAATAAGAGTCAACTGTACATAAAATAATAAATGTAGATTGATTGTGCCTACTGTTGCAAATATTAAGTCACACACAAATACACGCATGCATATATCGGTACATAAACAAACATCATACCAGCATATCACACATACAAACAACTATTTGATCGACGTAATCGTTATGAAGACAAATTTAGATTTTAAATCTTTTTGATTTTGCAATGAACAAATGGACAGTGTGTACAATAGCAAGGTTAGTATCAGTAGATGTTGTAGCATTTCCATATAATACTGAATCCAAGTCATATCGCTTTATATAGTAGTACGACCCGTGAAGATTCCGGGGTAGAATAGGTCTTCAGCAACCCATGCTTGCCGTAAAAGGCGACTATGCTTGTCGTAAAAGGCGACTAACGGGATCGGGTGGTCAGGCTCGCTGACTTGGTTGATACATGTCATCGATCCCAATTGCCTGGATCGATGCTCATGATATCAATCACTAGACTGTCTGGTCCAGACTCGATTAATTACAGACCGCCATCATATAGCTGGAATATTGCTGAGTGCGGCGTTAAACAACAAACCAACCAATCATATAGTAGTACATATTGTTCCGAAGATTGCAGTAGTTGCGACATGAAAAGAAGTAATGTGTAGGATCCTCATAATGATATCCACAGGAGCAGGTAGTAGAATCATGAGTATGTCTAAGATATTTGTGTGCATCTAAATCACTGCATCCTAATCTGAGGCGACAATGGATAATTTGACAGAAATGGGTACCATACTCTAAGTTAAAGCTAAATCTTTTAGGATTTTCTGTCTTGGTGATGCATTTAGTCAAGTCATTTACAGTATATTTTGACTGAACATTATACGGTCATTCATTCCACATTCGCACTGTGTCGGGTAAAAATGATTTGTGGTAGTTAACTGTTCTAGCATTTACAGTCAGATGATCTAATATGTTCAATAGCAATCAAATAGCCAATTCCTTCCTCTGATTTACCCACCTGAACTAGAAATAAAGTAGACAAGTGAGAAACAGAAAAGAAAATGACAAATACCTCGGAAGATTTTGTCTAGCTGGTATTTGTATCCCCGGTAGGTGGCTTCCTCGATCCAAAAAAGTCAAACGTGTAGATGTCGCCGAAAAGGACAAAAACAGAACTGTCAAGGCGAGAAGGCCACCTAACAGCAGAAATGTTTTCCTGGCCATACTTCTAAAGTGTGCACGTGTTAATGCTGGTACTGATCTTCCCTTAGGGTTCAGGCAGGTATGTCACCGGACAAAATGAAATATTACTGCCGGCTGGAGACAGCTGTTTCTCCTACGAACCAGACTGGACCAACAAGATCCAGTGATCATGAACATCGATCTACGCAATTGGGACACCATGTAATGCATCGACCAAGTCAGCGAGCCTGATCACCCGATCCCGTTAGTCGCCTCTTACGACAAGCATGGTCACCTTACTTTTTGTGAGGATACTCTATTGGTTCAACTATGAAGTCACCTACTCATATACTTGTCATCATTATTTCGCCTTATACCCCAAATGGAATCTGTTTCGTCAAATAACCGAGACTGTTGGTATTGCCGCGGCCATATAGGTCCAAGCACGGATGCAGAATTTCAAGAAAAATGGAAGCCCTGCATAGAAGTTTGGATAAGATGAAGGGTGCCTTGAAGATAATAAAATGGAGGAAACTAAATTAGATTTAAATGCGCCTACGGTTTTGGTGGGAATCTATGTTTCTAGGTTTGTCAGCAAAATACCCGTGCTCGTGGGTTTCACCAAAGTGATAAATGTCCTGCATTACTTCGGACTTTCCTCCCACATGAAGCTTACACTACGTGATATAACTGGAATACTGTTTAAAGCACGTTAAACCCAACTCACTCAGCCACTAATCATCGTGATTCGTATGCTTCAATATTGGGGAGGGGAGGGGTGCACGCTATATATTCGCTACCCCCCCCGCCAACACCAACATCAAACCCCCCCCCCCCCCACCCCCACCCCCCCACCCCCCACCCCCCCCCCCCACCCCCTCCCCCACCCCACACCTCCAAATCCGCATACCAAACCCAGAAATATTATTGATATAAACTGATCGATGTTACGCCTGGATAACGATACACAGCTGGTTCACTTGAATATATTAACAGCGCAAAAGAAATCCAGCTCCAACGTTGAATTCCATTGTGTAATGATGAGGAACAGCTTCCAAATACACCAAGACGTTCGACCACCACGTATCTGAATAACATCCGCACAGATCCGGTCACAACTGGCCTCTAATATAAAAGCTACAAAACCGAGTCGATTGCACTATTCAGACTATATCGTGGAATGATTTTATGAATGACTATTAAATAGTGGTGATACATATCTTGCCTAATCGGTGCACCCGTCACAAACACATGCACGTATTTCCTCATTATTATTATTATGAGTAGTAGTAGTAGTAGTAGTAGTAGTAGTAGTAGTAGTAGTGTAGTAGTAGTAGTAGTAGTAGTAGTAGTAGTTACATATTAAAATAACAAATACAGCAAAGAGGGTTTGGGTGATCCTGGAACAGTCAGGCTGGTTAGGCTCATCATCAGTTCAGGGCCCTTGCCCCCTCTACACGCAGCCCAGACAGCGAAGGGGACTTCTCCCAGGAAGCGCTGCCTTGTCAAACCCACCCAGAACTTTTCGGAGAATGTGAAGACTCCCCAACACTGCAGCCTTCTGCATTATCCAGATTGTCAGAGGGGCCGTATTCCTAGAAGCAAACACGGGTACTCGCCCAATGTCAGTCAACAGATTGGGAGGTACCAAACCTAAGGCACCGAGAACAATGGGGAGTCGGACAACTTGGTACTTGGGATGCAAGCGTGACATTTCAAAAGCGAGGTCCGCATATGTGCCATGTTTTCCTCAATCTTGTTAATCACATCAGTGTCAAAGGGGACAGAAAATTCCATGATAGAAATTTTTTCATTTGATTTATCAAAAAGGACAAGATCAGGTTTGATGGCCAGGATACGTCTGAGGCTGTAAATGGGCCTATTCCAAAGAATTTTTGTATTTATCATTTTCCATGACGCCCTCCACATATTCCGGATCGTACCATGGATGGACCTCTGTGTCAAAACCACAAGCATGGCGAAGACGGTAATAAAATGATCGAGCTACACCATCATGTCGTTTAAGATACTGTGTATGTGCCAAAGCTGGGCATCCACTGACAATGTGTTGGACAGTTACATTAGATTCATAACATAATCTACATTTCATATTTACATATTGATGCAAAATCACACATTGACGGTTTCGAGTGGGAAGTGATTGGTCCTGAGCAGCAAACAGAAAGCCTTCTGTTTCACTTTACAGGCCAGACGACTTCATCCAAGCGAAAGACTCTGCAGGATTGCTGATCTTCTCAACACACTGCACATAAAATCGATACAGTGGTCGTTCAGATAGTCTCTCCTTTAAAAACTGAGTCTGGGCCGACTTGATATGGCACTTCGCTTGGTTGACACTCATTTATGTACCATCCAGCCGTACAGAACCATCAACATTGAGATTATGTCCCACATCCTTGGCTCGTTTAAGAAAACTGTGGAATGCCTTGTTTTCATCATGAGTCTTGACATGCTTCACAAGAGGATCATCAGACAAATAAATGTGTGCAAAAGTGCACAAAACAATTCTATCATGAAGAGCCCCAACGTCAATCAAACCACGTCCTCCTGTAATAATTGGTGAATATAGGCGATTGAGGGAAGAGCGATGGTGGTGGGATCTATTGTCTGACATGATTGTGAACAAATCGAAACACTTGCCGATACAGAAAACGGCGTGACTTTTGGATTTGTTCCTCAAAACTAAAGTTGGCTTAAATCCCTGTAATTAACTATTCCTATTTCGCAAATAACTGAGGTCTGTTGAAGTTTTGTTTGTTTGTTTGTGGTTCATCTAGATAGCAGCTATTTGATGGCGGTCCATGAAAGGGGTGATTGACAAACAAGATGTAATTGGTGAGTAGGTAGTATTGAAACATCATCATCATCATCATCATCA